ACGATGGGCAGAATTCTTCGAAGGGCAGTTCAACTGGCCTGCTGCTCCGGCAACATCGGTCAGACTGTCCTGCCCTCCATGACCGGTGACGACTGATTCACCAAATGAGGAGGAAGTCCACAAGGAACTCCAACTCTTGAAACGCTACAAATCACCTGGCCCAGATGGCTTGCCTCCGGCTCTCTTTAAAGATGGTGGTAAATTTCGTTAGGGAACTGACGACGTTGTTTACAAAGGTTTGGGAACTTGAGAGTGTACCAACGTCATGGAATGAGTCGATAGTTGTCCCTATCTTTAAAAAGGGTTCACGTCGTTCCTGTAACAACTATCGGGGGATAAGTCTACTTCCAAACTATTGGCTTCTGTCATACTTCGTGGGTCGTTCCAAACCCGAGAAAGATTGACTCGCAAGGAGCAGGCTGATTTTCGTTCTGGTCGAGGATGTATGATCATATCTTCACCCTCCGCCAAATGTTAGAACACCATCATACTTATCACAGGCCAACAATCGTAGTGTTTCTTGACATCAGGACGGACTTTGATTCGTTGGACAGGACTGTTCTCTGGAGAAAGACTTCTCGACCTTGAGTATGCGGATGATATTGTCTTACTGTGCGATAATGTCCAAGCCATGCAATCCGCACTTAATCAGTTGGCAAGCAATGTCCGCAGGTACGGTATGTGCTTTGCACCTTCGAAGTGCAAAGTACTTCTTTTATTATTATTATCATTAGTACACTACCTTACACTAATCTGGTGGTTATTGTTTTCCTCTTTTTCTGTTACGCTCCTAACCTTCTTTTTTCTCTTCCCATTCTCATTGTTTTGTATTGCGCATATATATTTGGTACTCTTTTGTATCAATATTTATGTCTTCAAATTAATAAAATAAATAAATACTGCTCACGATCATTACGTAGGCTTTTTATCAACCTACATTTAAGATACCTCCGCTCCTTACCATGTTCTGAACCAGACGGGATGAAATTCCGAGCATCTATCAGTTCTGTAGACGCCACTGATATCTCTTCGCCTTTTGATTTAATTTGCTGGTTGCTATCACTGCTATTTTCATGACTGTTCGGATAGCATGTCAAACTGACCCGGTGTGGATATCACCTTCATGGTTGACTAACTACATTTCTGGTCGATTCTGAAATACTTTTTCCATTCTTTTTATCATTAAGTTGAATTGTGACGAGTATTCATAATGTGTATTTTCTGTTTCCTGTAAGACACAGATAAATACGTCCTCACACTGGAGCGTGATCTGAATCTAAACATAAGCTCCAGAATGAGCAGCAGTCCTCTGTCGAGCCCTTCCAACGATGACTGATGGAAATGAGGTTTATTTGAGTTCATCGCTGAATCGATTGTAGGGGTCACCACGTCAGACGATGTCTTTTCTCATGTTTACAGTTTGTGTTTGCTAGAAATAGACGGTCATCTGAGCATAGTTGCAACAGACGGTCACCATTATCTGTTCTCTGAGCCGCGACACCGCAAGATCTGCCTCAGTGCCTTTCGGTTTGACTTAGTCTATCTACTTGAGAATTAAAATCACCTGGCGCTGTTACTCTATATCATTTGGCTTTTGATGGAGGTTTGATAGCTTTTAGTGAGAGTATAAGCAGAGTCAACGAAAAGACAATGGCACATGTCTCTATCTTTTAGATTACTTACTGTCCCGTTAAGTCGAACAGCGCACAAGTGACTGTCTATTGGGACCCAGTCTAACAGAGCCTGTTCTACTTTAGAACTTAATGATGTACCCAAACCAGCAAGGCTAAGAGGAATAGCAGTGGGGTCTCCAGACACTCAAGGTGAGGCCAAATGAATGGCCGTACTCGAATCCTGCATGCGCGTTCCGGAGACACTACACATCAATGGCTCGAGATTCTTGAGTCCTAGCCAAAGAAGCCGGTTGTCCTATCTGACACAAGGTTCGAACATTGAAAGCTCCAACATGTAGTTTAGATAGTGGATTCAGGAGACCAGGAATAATACTTTATCAACTCAAATCATTATTATTGGTGACACGTGGTGATAAAGATATACTATAAGGGTTAGTCATCGAGGAGACGTTAAGAGATGAGGAGGGGATTTGATGATGAATAATATGACACCGAGTGCTGCTAAGGACGTGAAGGCATTTGTCACTTCCCGGTTGCCCATAACATGGGATGATATTTTCTCTTGAGACTTGAAAAAAGGACTGGAATAATGGTGGTTTTAACGACCCGGGAATATGACTGTGGAGAGCCCATGAGACAACTTCTTGAGGCTGATCATATACGGCCTTTCTGAGGGATTTGTATTGTGTTAGCTCCGTACTTTAAAAAGCCTTGCCGCCTATTACAGAAATCTGTGAGATGTGACATTTTTGGGGTCGACCTTTTCTAAGCTCTCTTTCGTTGTGTTAAGGTAGCATCGCTACAGATGCTGTTTGTCCGAAGGAAACACTTTGCTGCAATTACAACCCAGTACAGTTAGTAGTTCGAATTCGCCCTCGGACCCTAAGTCGCTGCTATTAGTCTTACCACTCTCCAGGTCAGTCAGTCACAACACAGAGCCTTTTACGTATCTACATCGGTTCACGTTCCCACACCTCATAAGGAAGGAGAGGTAAAATTATCAGCCCACAATTCTAGACTAGCACAAGTAGTAACAGCATTAGTGATAATAAGAACCAACCTGCTTAGTACGATAAAACTTAAAGGAACAAGTGTTTCAGCAACTATAGCTCAACTGAGTCATCACGATAGACAAGTATGACTACCACATTACGGCAGTAGCTACGATTGGAGTTTTTCTACATCAATCAACTCCGTAGAAGACTTGTGCTTGTTATGATAGAACAATAGACTCAATAAAACTCGAATGAATAGCCGTTGAACAGTTCAGAAGCCGAAACTCGAATAAAAAAACTAAACACTAGAAACACCAATCAACTGACTGGAAGCATATTAAGTATTGATTTTTTTCGACATTTAACCAAGAAAATGTTAAATGTTATGTATCAGATCTTATATGACTAGTCTAGGGTGAAAATGAGAAACAGTGAATCTACACATCTGTCTGTTGCATCAGATTTCGAGAAAAAAAGCTACATCTCAGTTCAATAAGAAAACATTAATTGTTAGACATCGGATCACTTTGCACAATGTAGATTGTAAGCTGGAAATAAAAAAATCGTCGCTTACTATACTACACTTACCAAAGGATTTGGTCGAAACCGATAAGCTAACATCATACGTTTCCTGTATGCATCGTACTCATCATCTTCTTTTATTAATTTGGAAGGACGATCAATTCCTAGCCCTACACCATCAACGTGGACATTCCCCCTTGAATAAAATTTCGGAAAATTGAACAAGTAATTAAGTGTTTAAACACAAATCTTTATCCCCATCCATTCTCAGAAAAAGATATTAAAAAGATCAGATCATGGTGAGCGGTAAAATTCTGGACTCACTTATTGACTGGATTAACAATACCTTGACCATCAATGCCAAGTCCTTCACCTTCTTTCCAACCCATTTTTTCTAACATTTGGAAACCAACATTTTCACAAGTTAACTTGAACTGTTTGTATTCAGAAAAATCCGGTTCCCGACCTTCTTTCAATGCCTAATTGCGAATTAAATAAATTCTAAAAACTACCTCATATTCAACGCAAAAATAAGCAATGTCAACGGTAAGCGAAAAAAACTGGAAAGAAGACTAACAAGAACATAGTGCATTGAGAACTATCCAGTCAACATTTATTTATTCAATACGACACTCGAAATTCATTAAACACTGTATGTGCAGATTCAAAAACATACTTATCCCCAGAGATTTTTAGTTTTGAAGCTTATCAATATTGAATGTGTTAATGTTAGCGGTCAAGCAGTCTGAGAGAGCAATATTCTCTCGCCGTGAAGTGAGAGACTCGTGCTTGGATCGTAACAGGATTTCATACATGGTTTTCATGCTGGAGAATGATATGCTGAGCCAATCAAACATAAGTCAGAGATGGTGAAGAGATTTGTAGCTCAAGTGGATGATTCTGATGGGGTTTTGTTCTTTGAACTGGATGGTTTGGTCGTGGAGCTTTCATCGTTAATTTGAACGACATCGTCTGTACGAACTTCAGGTAGAAGTGAAGTGTTCGAATTTCTCCACATATGGCTCACAGCTTGTTCGGTCTACAGGACAAGCTGTGAGAGATGTGAACGAGCACAGTCTTAACTTTCGGAGGAAAAGACATAAGTTGTTGACTGAAAATCTGCTTTTATTTCCTGAGGGAGATAGATATATATTTATGAATGAGTTGCGCATATGTTTTGATTTAGGTTAGCCAATAAACTTTCTCGATTTACCTTTGGTTTGCTCACTCGGATGTAGGATGCGCATACATCACTAACAAACTCATACAACCACAGATTATGACAGAAACATATTCGTGAATCGAACTCTGTTGTGTACAATAATAATCAATAGATTTGAAGAGTAACTGAAACAGAATTGAACTAACCTAGATCACGTTTCGTTCCAGGAATATTAGCATTTAGTGTTGTTGACTTAGCTTTTCATTATTTTGAAAAGCGAATGAACCCACAGGAATTTTTGCAATATGAGGCAGAATTTTTTCAGTTAAACCTACCAAAAAAGCCACTGAATTTACCAGCCCTCAAAACGGAAGGTAACGATTCAAGATTTGCGTCTTATGTAAATTCACTGAAAGGAGCTACTGTTATTTCCTTGCTTTTCTTCCTATTAATGATTTCTACTCTGGATTATAAACTGCTTGTAATTGTGTTGAATAAAGCGTTGTCTAGCCTGTACAATGGTGCTCTATTTTATGTCGTTAAGTGTATACCCGATTATGATCCCATTTGTACATAGCGTATCGATCGAATATCGAGGTTTAGTCGTGGTACAATCTGGGTCACCAGTTTTATACCATTATTATAGCATGGTAAACAGAAAATATTCGTATTCTGCCGTTATATTAATATTAAAGCCTATTAGGTATCGACATATACAGGATGTGTAAAAACAGAAAAGAAAAATAGGATTCTTTAACAGCTGTTCCGATGGCCATGAAGGTGAACACCCAAAGCATTCGATTTTATCAAAAGACAAACGGTTCCAACGATTGTTGAATTTCTCCTGTTTTACAAATACGTCATCAACAGTCGAGTTGTTCGTGCCTTTATGACGGTTGATTCCCCGTAGTGACATGTGTAATAACTGAAGCATTTTAATATATATGAGAATAATAATTATGCAACTTACACGGAAAGTTTCCATGAAACGCTCTAATTCGTCCGGTGGTAGAAAGTCCCCAATATGATGTTTTCCATGACCCATTTCAGTTAATTTCTGAGCCCATTCTATAATTAAATAAAGATGTAAGAAACAAGTAGTGTGGATTAATAAATCACAAAATCTACACAAAATGTCACGAAAATGTTATGTGAATAAAGGCTAAAAATATTCTATGAAAGGAACTTTACAATTTAAAACAGAAACTGATCGAAATAAAATACATATATTAATCATAGTTCGAAGTCTATGGGAGCAACACGACTATTTGCAAAAAGATGTACAGTGTGTGCATTGTTGCCTTATCATAAAATGAAAGATGAACAGGTTAACAGGACTTTACTCATTACTTATCTCACTTCGCGACCTACTCCTCTCTAATACGTTTTCTTAAAGTTTGTTGATTCAATTGTTACTTGATAATGAGCACAAAGTTTAGTAAATTCTTGAGATAAACTATGCGAGGTTGATCTTCACTCTTTTTCTTATAATCCTTATTATCCACGACCTTTATGTATGTTATGACTTTAAGTTGGGGTCGATTTCTACCCTGTGCTAATTGTGTCCTTGACTGGAAAACTACAGAGCAGCGTACTTATCGATCGATTACAGTGACACGTAAACACGAACGGACGGCCTAGAGTCTCGATTGGTCCCACTTCCCTGTCTAGCCCAGTTAGTTGAGTCCAGAACACAAGTCACAACCTCTGAGATATGAATCATTATATTTCAAACATATTTGTTTATATACCAATCAAGCATACCACATCGTACCATAAAATAGAAAACAACATTTTGTACAACATTCAACAAGTGGACAGATATCGACCAATAGGAATTATCCATTTAAAGTCCAAGGACACCATTGGACTTAACATGATAATTATTGGTCTATTCCTCCGCATCCACAACAATGTATATTCATAATCCCATTGTTTCACTAACCAGATCCGTAGTTGTACTATATTTTGTAACAGAAATCCACTTATTCTAGGTTACTATTTGTACACTAAGTACCTACCATTCTAAGGTTTACAAAATATCTAAACTATAAATCTCAACTACAGGAAACTGAACATCCACTGGGAGTACAGAAAAAAATTACCTCGGGTTGCCTCCATTTCCGCTTGTCTTAATTTATGCTCCCATGTTCCATTTTCACAGTCCTCGTCGGAATCATACTCATATTTGATAACTAAACCATCCTTCGTAATTCTTGTTTTTTCCATAATTTACACCCTCAATTCGATTCATAAGTTCTTCCTCTTTAGACTTTGATCGTTTTTGTGCTAAAATAAACTCTTGCATAGCTTGAAGCTGAGGAATAACAACGTATAAAGATTTAATGTTAATTTGATTGCAAATTACTAATCGAATCAAAAAGAATTATTGGAATAAAGTATTTGGCAACAGATGAGATCTTTTGGTAATTTTTGAAAAACCATCAAAGACAGAACTGAATAGTTAATTCACCTAGTTATGTGACTTTTTAGCATTACACTCATAATTTCACCATATCATATTTAATCACGTGGTTACACCGTTAAAATGGTGAGCGATGAATAACTGAGTTAGATTATAACAGATGATATCTAATTGAGATATCTTCCAACTTGCTGACGATCAAATGTAAGATGGCACGAAAACGAATAGGCACTAGAGGACTATAAATGACTATATTGTCAGTCGACTGCACTAGTAATTTAGTCAACTACATGCAATGTAGAACCAAGGCTAGTAAGCGAAAACAATATTGTTTCAACAAACGATAGTTTTGAAAGCTACAAGATAAACCATATTAAGTTTAATTCGTACCTCATATTTGATTGTTTAGAATATATTGCTGTGACAAAATGTATTTGATTTGTAGGAATGGAAAGATGGTTTCATTCATAATACCTAAATAGAAGGCTGATATTTTGGTATCACTAGTTTGAAGTAAGTCAAGTAAGAGAGCATTTCAAGGGAAATTTCTCTAATCTCCCCCCGGGTGAACAAGTAACGGTAACCTTTTCTTCAACTGTAACCACATAAACGGAGTATCAATTTTAGGACGAAGGAGAAGACATTATTAATCTTGAATCAAATTGGATACAGGTGGGAGAGATAATTATAATCACCGTTCGAAAAATCAATAAGGATATGGTTAAACTATGATCTAGAGCAGACGATAATAGCAATGTACTCCAAAGCTTTACTACGAACTAGCAAAAGAGTATTTCAAATTAAAGGTGCAAGAGACTCAACCAAGGCTCTAATCCAAGACGCTCAAAAGGCTCACTTCTCTTGCTAACTAATGCTATCTTTGGTGCAAATAATGTCTATCTATTATCTATCGAACAGTGGGTATACAACATTCTAACTTGTGTTACTTCCCAGCTGTGAAGTATGGCTTTCGAAAAAGACGAAAGTGAATCGTAAGCACTTTATCATTTATGTTTTTAAAGAACCGTTTTTGCATGGCAGAATCTCAAGATGAGCGCTACTGATGTTATATATAGACTAGAGACTGGTGGATCCTTTCTTACATGGATGTACGCAGCACTGTTTTTCCCACAAACGCAAACAAAGCTACATTGGTTTCACCGGACGACACTACAGAAACCTAATCGATATTCGTATCAATAAAAAATTTGGAGGGTTCAAGAAAGACGTAAGAACAAATAAACTTATTTGGCTTCAGATCATCATTTGGTGGCGGAGAAGTTGGGGAAGCATTGGACTACTGGACAAGCAGTACTAAAAAATTTAGTAGTTTTCCTTTCATATGCTCACAAGCTCGGCGAACTTAAGATAGGTCTCAGCAACAAGTTCCAAGCCTTACAAGATCTACTCACAGATGTTGTGACTGTGGACTGCAGAATTAGAGCGCAGTGTATTATCGATCGGACCAAAGACGCGTAAACACGTAAGAACGACCTAGAGTTCTGATTGGATCCGCTTCCCTGTCTAGCTCAGCCAGTTGAGTTCAGAACGCAATTCTCAGCCTCTGAGATATGAATCATTATATTTCAAACATACTTTGTTTATATACCAATCAAGCGGACCACATCGTACCATAAAATAGAAAATAACATTGTACAATATTGACCAGTAGGAAAACGACACGTGAAATAAATACTGACCAATAAGAAAATAATACCATCTCAAGTCCAAGGATAGCATTAGACTTAACAAATAATCTTTGGGATATTTTTCTGAATATCCCAACAAGAGGAAACCACTATGGGAAAATGGAAAAAGATTAAAGGAAGGATAACTTTAATATATCTGGATATGGTGGCATCCAAAAAGAACCAGAACACCGAAAAGGTCTCCGTCGACAGCCCGGACGGCGTTCCAGAACGGCGAGACAAGAAAAGTCAATAACAGCCAGAGAGAATCAGAGCAAGTCAAGGCACAAGTTGAAAATACGAAAGTAAATAAAAAACGACTTAAAAGCATTAGAGTTGGGAAGAGGAAACATGTATAAGACCTAGCAATGACAGAACAGGCTGCAACAGAAATAAATTTGTAAACCATATGATACGACCAAGAAGTGAGAGGGGAAATACAGTAAACAAGAGCGACCAGTCAATAACAAGAAAGGGAAATCAATAACTGAGGTTCAAGAGCAGTCAAACAGGTAGATAGAGTAATTCCGTAAAGCACTTGAATAGATCAGGTATACCGAACCCCCAAAAGCATCAGAGAATAAACAAACCTCCATGTATACGGTGCTCCACCAACAATACAATAGAATATATCTGGGTAGCATCATTGATAAACAAGGAGGATCTGGCTCCGATGTGACGGCACGAATTGAAAAAGCAGGGTAGCATTACTACAATTGAAGAATATCTGGAACTCTAAACAACCGTCACACTCAACAAAAGTCAGAATTTTTAACACAAGCATTAAGAACGTTCTATTGTACAAAGCTGAAAATTAGAGAACTGCTACGACTATCATCCAGAAAGTACAAATATTTATAAAGTTAGTTACCCAAAATACTCCAAATTTGTTGGCTAGAAGCTATCGACAATAACTTACTGTGTCAGAGGACAGATCAGCTACCAGTTAAGGAGAAACCAGAAGACGATAGGACTGGACAGGGCAACATATGAAAACCGTTGAACTACGCCACAATGCAAGCTCTAACTTGTAATCTTCAAGGCATGAAGAAAAGTCATACCAAAACATACGTGATGCTAAGAATCAGAAATAGACATCAGAATAATGAATAGAACTTGCCAAATACTAGGAAGGAGAGCTGAGGATAGAGAAAATTCGAGACCCCTTATCGATGGCCTAAGGCCCATGAAGGATAGAGAGTCTAGGTAAGATCAGTTTGACAAGTGTAGAAAATTGAACAATCGGAAATGAAAGTAGGACAATTTTTGGTTACCATTGCTGAACAGTCTTCAAAGCGAGTTGAAATTAGACGATCTCCATTGGCGATAGTGGAGTTTGTTATTAATATCATAGGATTTCGTGAAATTAAGGAACATGAAATTTGAAGACACCGGTGCAATATACTATACCGTTTAAAATGTAGTCACTCATTAAAAGGAATACCACTAAGTTATATTATTCAAGGACAAATCAAGTTGCGGGTTTACCCAAACCATAAACGTCGCTAAAACAAAGCTTTGACCGTTAAAAATAATACATATCTTAGAGAACCGATATAAACAAGCTGTAACTGACAACGTACTTCCTTTTGATAACGTATTTGTTCAGCTTGCTCAGGTGTAAGTACAACACCGCCTGTGAACTGATTTGGATTAGAAGTAGTTCCTAAAATCAGCAAGCACATTGTATCAATAAATAGAGAAAACACCAACTCAGAGACAAAAATAAAGCATCTTAGCCTATTTACAAAGCAAATACTTTCACATGAAATCAAAATAAATGAATTTCCAGATAAATTTAATTTGACATTAACTATTCAGACCTTAGGTTACAAAGCTCAAACTTAGCAAGAGAGGGAAAGCAGCAGATAGTGATTGGTTGACTCTCGGAATCATGAAAGTTAAAAGTAGTTCCATGTAGTCATTAGTTGTTGGTAACCGAGCTAGTATGTGAGAAAAGATAAGGATTTTCTTCGGATGACCAAAGAGACATTAGTTTGACTGGTATGGCTTTTAAAATATCAGCTTACATAATAATGAAGTGTTTTACTATCGTCTAAGAACAATAAACACGAAGAAACCAGAGACATTTAAGAACTATGTGAATGTATAGACTAAATATTTACCATTCGAGTCGTGTAGAAAGTGATTGCCTACATACGCAATTCGAAAACAATCTCGAGGCTCCCGACACAGTTTAAGCTTGACCAAGGTCAGAACAAGTAAACTAGCTGGCTTGATAGACCTTATCTGTTTCTAAAACGTAAATTAACACAGTCTATTAAACAGTGGAAATATAAATATAAATAATATACCGAACAGAAACTGGACGACAGGAAAAATGAGTCAACAAAACTTAAAACCGTTTATGACAAACATGAAAGACTGTAATTAGTGAATAAACATGGTCTATTCACATAAAGTCAGAGAAAGTCGGGGTGGAGCGCTTAATGCTACCATTGATGAACTCGTTTATCGGCCACAACTTACACTCCTCCCGAAAGGCCAACCACCTCAATCATCCTGGATTATCAGAGTTAAAAATGGCTTCTCCAAGTATGTGTAGATCTCATACATCTCGAATTATTTCTTTAATTGTCATCCTCAACTTCGCCGTGCGGACCCATCCGTCAGGACCATGGCTTCCTCGCTCGACAATGGCTTTAGGTCATAGACTCCTATTTGCTTCAATTTTGCTAACGAGTAATAAATTGCTTGGTTGTAATTGTTTTCATATGTTCAACAATTTATACCTCACTTGAATGGTAGGCAGATATTCTCGTATTCGCTTATTCCAAAACACGGTAGTTAACCTCTGTGCTTCCTCAGATCTATTATATAATAAAGTTTTGTCGGTGAATGCTGGTTCAAATGTAATATTTTATAAATCAACGACTTATTCGGACTAAGCGTCTCCAGGGTGCCAGAGTTATATGTGACCTAGATGTATCTCCATTCGTTTGGTGTGTATAAATACTATATAGTTGCTAACCTATAACTCACAAACCTTTCAAACCTTTTAGTCGTACCTTTTATATAATGAAGCACGACCAGCGAACATGTCCAATAAGTGACCGAGAAAATGGGGGTATTTAGCTGTCCTTCTGCATGTTTCTTAATCTTAACACATAGCACGCAGACCGTTAGCTCCATTCTAGGTGTCATAACAAGTTTCAAGGAAATGATCCTAGACTTAGCCAGTGCAACCGTAGCGTTTCTGACTCCAGACCAGAGGGTTGCGTGTTCAAATCACGTCGGGCTCAGCAATTTCTCTCCTTCAAATGTTCTGGTACGACCGATGGTGAAGACGGTTTACTCTCCTCGAATCGCTCCCACATGACCGCACGTACACAGCCACTGTCAAGGAAGTCCCTCTCACTGCCTTCTCGCGGCGGTGTTGTTTACGAAAGTGAGTGAACGAAAAGCGAATTTCTGGTGCTTTAACCGGGTTAGAGGATATGGAGGACCCACCAAGGGGAGTAAGAAAACCCTGATTCCAAACCAATGGTGCACATAGGCTCCAGGATCCTGAGGCGACAAATGGTGTATGAACCTATTGTTGGTCACCAACTACCATGAGACTTTACCTCTTAACGTTTATCAACTGTGTTGTGGGTTAGACCTTTAGGTCAAATGCTCGAAATGTGACATCCTAAGAAACCATCTGCTTCGACTTGAGCATCCAGGCAATATTCCAGACCTCACACAAATCGAATGATTTTTGTGGCGCATATATATTTGGTTCATCCTTGTACAAATGTTGGTTTAAATAAAAATAAAATAACAGCAGAAATGAGCAGTTACTTCGACCAAAAACTATCATAACGAATAGATCTGATAACACCATATGCAAGCTCGGAAGTATCAGCGAAACAATGAATTTGAACAGATAATGGTTCAAATTTTGGTTTTAGATATCTTGGTATTAAGGCACTCAACTCTTTTATATGCCTACACCAAATGCTCCACTTCGTTTGACAATCAATGGGTAGCTCTATGCCTCAGTCTAGTTTCTGTTGACAGATATCTTGTAAGATCATTTTGGCTGGCAATACTATTGGAGCTATAAACCTAATCGGATCAAAATAGATGCTACATACGACAAAGTAATTCTTCTGGTTGAGTTTCTATGAAATGCATGGACTTCGAAATACAATTCGCCAGTTCGGACGTTTAACTCCAGTATTTTTTACTTGCCTCGTTGGACTCACAAACGGAAGTGTTGCCTTCAATACGGTCTTCCTCTAGAATGAACTTAAGCACTGCTATTAGTCCATTTAGTTAAGTTAGATCCTCCTACGCTTAGAATGCTTTTGAAATGTGAATATATCAATTGGGCTTCTCAAATAGTCTCCACAACTATCAATAAATAGTCCACATAGAACTGTCCCTTGGATGCTTTCGTAATACATTTGAGGAAATTATCTTGATGATCATAAGTCGTTTTCTGCAAAGCAAACGTAGCGCAGTATGGCGATGAGGTTGCTCTGAGCAGATGGAGTTTCATTATATAGACCTCTGGCTCCTTTCTAAGTCCCCTCCTGACCACCACAAATACCTGAATGTTTGGATCGTGTAGCGGAACTACTACTTGGTGACACATGGCTGTAATGTCCACCATAAGACTTATTAGTCGTCGCCGAAACCTGTTCAAGATATCTACTAAGTTATTGACTAAATCAGGTACAGAATCAAGATTCTTGTGTCAAAGACGTCCCGGCATACTGAGCTGTACAATCGAACACAATGCTTAACTTGCTGGGCTTCTTGGTATAGAAAACAGGGTGATGAGCAAGATACCAAATTCGATCATCGATTTGGTTATCCTTTACCTTTTTTAGCATAATGCCGTCCTACATGCCGAGTCATAGTGATGACATAATCTTGAAGTAACTTCTCATCCCAACTAAGTCGACCCTTAAAACAGCTAAGTCTACTTTCCGTTAATCTTCTGTTACCAGGTAGTTCACGTTCATATTGCTGAAAACAAAAAGAAATATAAGTTTGATAAAGTTACCTTGAGTTTTTGCAGCAGCTGCAGCAGCTTTTGCTAGTGCAATCGCAGAAGCCAAAGAGCCATCCGAGAAATCTTTTACTGATCCATTTATTTTAGGTTCATTGGTTTCTTCGTCCCATCTGGAGCGACGTCTTTTGGTGGGGATAAATTCATCAATTTCTGATTTGCAATTATCTACAGCTTCAGGTTCTAAGGCAAAAATGTGTTATTGAACATGAAGTTCTAAATAAACTGTTACTAAATACTAATTGTTTGCAGCACATCTAGATCAAATGAATTTTACATTCAACCACATCTGGAAATCAGTGAAAACCTATTACCTAACTTAAATAAAAAAATAAGTCTGATGATAGCAATGACCCATTGTTTTTCACAATCTTGAGATGGTGGGGAAGATTTGTAGCTCAGGTGGATGATTTTGGTGGTTTTGTTCTCTGAGCTGGATGGTTTGGGCGTGGAGCTTTCATCGTTCTACCTGAAGTTTGTGCTGATGATGTCGTTCAGAAGAACGATCAAAGCCCCACGACCAAACCATCCAGCTCAGAGAACAAAATTTTCACAATCTTGCACACGATATATAACCCTAATGTGAGACTTACGACATCCCAGAAACGTGTATCACTTCGAAAACATAGCTAAGACAACAAAGTAGTTTTATATCTGCTTAGATTCCCAAACAACGCAGTAGTTCAATAACAGTTCTCACATTTTTAATGACAATTTTGAGCTCGACTAAGTACTCATATCATTCTATATAAGAGAGAATTTAAGATGACAAGTAGAACAGTAGATACCAATATATCAAGATAACAAATACAAGCATAGTCATTGTAAAAGACAGTGAATCTTATGTAGTGAGTGGTCTTGGTGGGAAAAACCAATTTATTTTATGCAAAATTACACAGTCATTAAAAAGGAAGAATGTATTTGTAAAATCTCAGCGAAAGAATTTGAAGTAATTCCAACGTTTCGCCTGGCAATCTGGCTCAAGCTTTTTCAAGGAAAATATAATCAAACAACAAAATTATCGAATATAAATAGGTAAACCGAAGAACCATGTACCTATTTATATTCGATAATTTTGTTGTTTGATTATATTTTCCTTGAAAAAGCTTGAGCCAGATTGCCAGGAGAAACATTGGAATTACTTCAAATTCTTTCGCTGAGATTTTACAAATACATTCTTCCTTTTTAATGTCTCACATTAACTCGGCGCCCAAATATTGTGAAACTATTCGTTCAAATTTAAACGAAAGTTCTTATTTAAAGTTACAGTGTCTTTGGAAAATATGAAACTCATACATTAAATATATTATTTGCACATTTCCAGCTGTCCTGTACATACTTCTTCCTTCTTCCAATTCAGTTTTTATTCCAATTTCTCTCTGTTACCCTTTCTCTTCTATTTATTTTAATCTTCTGCTGGCAGATATTCTAGTTCCGATTGCTGCTATATACTACTTATATCTGTTAGCATAAGCAACATACACCACACATATCGGTGATTTTATTTACACAGATGTCGCGCTGTTGGCTTGACTCAGATTGCAAAGACCAGATTTTTGAGTGTTTTTTATTTACTTCATTGAATGCCATTAAATCCATCAAATATTAGTATTACTGGTGAACGCTAAGTCATGTTTATGGCAGCTACAAGGACAGTACCAAACAACTAGTTAACATAAAGCTTGCTATTACAGTAAAAGCAGAGCGTCTAACTCTTATGTATTCTTATCTTTTATAATCTTCAAACGAAGTACGTATTCATAGTATACTGAAGTTTGATGAAGACGCTGACAAAATCCAGTTTTTCCACCACCTTAAGCAACATTCCAGGGAAGTTTTGGATACGATCCTCTCCCTCCAAATGCAAACTATTGCTTCAGGACTGGCCTGCGCCTGTCCCTTAATGATAGGGAGTGAAGTGGTTGGGCGCGTCAACTGCCTCACTCACCTTGAATGTTCCACTAGCTCTAGTGAGTTGCTGTTTGATGAAATTACGGGACGGATTCCAAAAGCTCGGTTGGTCTTTGACAACTTAAGACTCTTGTAGCGTAGGCGAGATATCCGTCTGCCGACAAAAGGATGAGTTTACTGAGCAACATTTCGCACTGATCTATTTTTCAGGTATGAAACATGGTCATTAGGAATAGAGGATATTCGTAGATTACTATTATTCGATGAAAAGAGTCTTTGAGATATAACCCGAATACTTTTAGACCACAGAGTGAGCAATGCTGAGGTTAGGAATAGGGGACTTGGCAAAGACGACATATTGGTTGGTGAGGTTGTTGGTCTTCATCAACTGATGATGAGAACACTTATTACGTATACCTAACCACTGCCTAACTTGACGAATGACGCTCACTGGTGCAGAAGTAGGTTGGAAGAACGCTAAAGGCGGTTAAACCAAGACGTGGCATCAGGCTACAAAGTCCCTGGAAACTGGACTGAACCATGTAGACATGTGTAGATCAACTAGATTGACAAATGGTCAGACTTTTCGTGACATGGCTCAGGATTGTTCAAAATGACGTAGGTGCATTCACATTTTGTCCCCCCCTGATAACCGGAGTCCCATAATCTGCTTATACTTTTCTGTTCTTTTTTAATACCTAGTCTTTCATACTACTTGTACTGCTTCTACTTTACTACTCCGGAATTCGACTTAACTTTATCTCCCTGTGTTGTAGTATAGCAACTTGGACTAAACATGTTAGATTCTATATTGTACACGACTGACAGTGATACAGGGATTAAAATATTGAAACAAACATTCCAATACAAAAACAAAAGCGTAAATAAGAGTTAGCCTATTTCCAGGTGATATTTAAAGTGATTCATTTCCAAGTGTTATCACTTCCAATGGTTGCTATTTTTTCACATACTTTGACAAAATCCGACCATAATGAATCCAAACTTGGTGTAGTTTCAACTTTGATGCATGATAAACCAATAATGTAGTTCCGCACAATAGAGTTGGATTTATTTAACTTATTCTACTCTATGCTGCCTCCACTTGATCGATTCTCTCAACGGAGAGTGTTCCGCCACACACAAACGATATCTCAACATATAAAGACTTGGTTTTGCCACATTTCTGATATTATTGTCTAGTCAAAACGTGTCTGGCTCAGTTTTGTGTAGTGGTGATTTGTTCACCTGACTAGTACTTTAGACAAAGTGGTGAAAAAAATTCATAACATTTTTTTACATTCCTTCTTAGGCAACCTCACTACGACTGAATAGTTAACGAAGCCAAATTATTATCTACCCCAAACTCGATTCAATTTGAGGGCGAACATTTGAATAATGCAGAAAGACAAACCGAAGAGTACGAACTGATCACTTTATAGTAGTGAACAAACTTTCATGGAAGGGGAATCAAGGAGACAAGACTAAGAGGAATGGAATGATCGGCATCACATATTATTTTAATTCTGAAATGAAAACATTCTTTAGGATAACACTTTGTATTTTAAAATAAACAGTGGGTGAAGTTTTTTACATTCCGATCCCTTCCCAAAGCACTAATCATAGTTTTGAAAATGACACATGAACACCAGAATAGCTTTGCATTTTGACGTCATTAGTCCCAATCGTTTGCAGTATATCTACATTCGATTAATATGCCATAAAATTATCTGATTGTCTTAGTCACTATGATAGGAAGTTACGACTGCACAACATGGAAACTTGCGTATTTCTGCGAGCTCCACTTTCTGAGCCTATAAACCGGATTTTCGATACAACGAAATAGCTGAGTCTTTGAATAAATTAACTTTAATTTACAACTTTTACTAGTTTCCTGCGAATAACCTGTCTTTTATCCATGAACTATACAGGTGACTGACTATCTTACCGTATTGGGCTCCTAAGGACAAGTTTCAAGCCTAATCTATTTTGGTGTAAACGGTTGACACCATTGGCACTCACAAGGTGCAGTCTTGGGCAACGTGCGTAAACACGTACTTCGAGAGGTACATTATTGAGTAAATTACCAAGCCACGACTATGAAGTGACCTAAAATATAACGTTGGTAAACACTGCACTAGTTAATTTTTACGATATTTATGAATTTGATAATGCAGCTCGTGAACTGTACAGGCCCGCCGGCTGTGTATCATGGCAAAGATAAATCAAAATACGGTAAACACGAACTTACTGACTGAACTACTGAGTGTCTTATGCTTACGAACATCAGCCAATCTTTTTCTAAAGAACTTGTACTCATTAGTCTCTGGAAGCGTCAGGAACCTAAGAGAACATGAATTAGGATCACGAAAACCAACGTACCAATACTGTATGCTATCCTCAAACTTCTTTATTTCTGCTTCGCAAAGACTGTGGGACATACCAGAAACACGTAGGACCAACGATTCGATTGCCACCAAAACCTTTGAATCATCGGGAATAACTGGAAATATGGCACTTAGAATTCCATTCATAGAATAGAGAGATAAAAATTCCACACAAAGCAACTACCTGTTTCACTCTCCGTTTTGCACTGCTTGCTAAAAACAAATAGTTTACTTGTGTAGTATAAGCTACCTATCAAATTCATCCGTATTTTCTACCTTTACTACCTAAACAGAAAAATGGACAAAATATATGAAGCTACATTCGGAATAACGGGCTTCTCAATAGATACTCTTTCTTGTTCAGCTAGAGGAATAAGACATAACTGTTTGATAATTACCTTGCATTTGCTTGAACAATTCCATAAAACTTCCATCATTCTTGAACGGTATTTTGGACATTTTCATGTAACGCCAGATTACTAATTATATCGTAAATCCAATCGATTCATCAAAACAAACAGAATCAATTGTTGTGGTCAAAGTAGGAGGAGCTTTCACTTCAAATGGTTGTAGACGGAAAATAAGAAGCTTTCGCTTAGCGGACTTCCGCATCTGGTGGCAGTGGATCACCAATACCTCAGGCAGGAATCTCTAAGACGCCTGTACTCCAACTTACCTAACTTCTATGTCCAGCTTCAGCTGATGACCATTGTTTCACCGCAGGAACCTGTGTATATGAAAACAAGCATGGACAAATAAGTTGTGATACATGAATCCAAAGTTGTCTAGGAAACTGTGATTAACGAAGAGCCTCGGGGTACATTTTGGGGGCTTGTGTTATTTCTCCTGTGTAAATCACCTTCCTAGTATCCTAACATCATCGGTTTTTGTTGTATGCTGACAACGTCAAGATAAAAAGTAAATGTGGTGGCTTAGAGGGTCAAAATGACCTGGAGAAATTATCTGACTAGTCTAAAAATTGGCAGTTGTCGGCAAATAACGGTTCGTGATGACTCTCTCATAATTATGAACCTCAAAGACAGCCTTGACCTTTCTCTCAGTTTGCAGGACAAAAATGACAGGATGATCTAAGGTGCACTGAACAAGAAACTTGAGCTTCCTAGAACAGAGTCTTTGACGGTCACACGGCTCACTCTAGGAAAGGAATCTAAGCATCAATATCACCCGAGTCTACTTCGTGTAGCACTTAGGAATGCTACCGATGTAGCGGATGTCCTGCTAGCTAGTCATTTACTGAAATCTGATGGGAACGTAGAAATACTGGTCGAAACATCGTATTCTGAGCGCAATCTCAACCGGAACATCCCTAAAGAATCTCGCGAGAAGTTTTTCCGCGAAAGAAATGTAATTGTGCAAAGTGTACCAGAAAACACGGACCGCAGTCAAGCAGACTCTGATATTAGGGAATGGAAATTCATGAAACAGTCCTTTAGGCTCAAAAACATACTTGCTCAACATGTGACGAGACTAGCGAAGGAGGACAGTGATTCTAAACCCCGGCTAATGAGGATAACTTTCCCATCCTCCCATATGGCGGCTGCAACCATGGAAGCATTTCGTACCAACAGACGTTGGCTGCCAACTGGAATCCATATGCATCCGGATAGGCCTTATGACGCCAGGATCAAGCACCAAGGTAAGTTGAAGAAGACCATTCCACTTGTGGACTGTTATGATCATAAAACAACGTGTAAAGGACAGGGCCTACCAACTCGGCAAACCTTATATAGGTAGGTTACGTGTCCATTGACGTAAGGCTCATACAGACAAACAGGACGTGGAAGCTCACTCGTTTCACATTGAGAGCATAAACTGCTTATACATGAACGCCGCGAGTCTATCAAACAAAATGGATGAGCTACGTGAACTTAGCAACGCTACTAATGTTCATCTGATAAAATATCTGAAACTTGGACATCTCAGTTCTCGGACCAGGAGCTAGCAATACCTGGGATGTCTTTGTTTTGCAACGACAAGAAATCAGGAATTGGGGGTGAATTAGCCGTATACAGACGATCTTGCTGAGAGGTGCACCAAGTTCACAACCAAGAGTTTAACAATCTTGAGTAATCCATATGGTGCTCTGTAAGGTTGTCTACTGCTTCGAGGTGCCTAGTCGGAGTCATATATAGGAAGCCCACTGCCGACATCGAGTATGACAGTCGTATGCTGGAAGGACTATCATTCTCTACTCGTTTCGGATTCACTCATTTCCTGATTCTAGGGGACTTCAATCTCCCTAGAGCCAATTTCGTGGATTATACGTATAGTGGAGGTGAAAACTCAACTGAAGCTCGGTTCTCCCAACTGGGTATTTACAAACAAAGAATTACTCATTGATAACCTCTTAATCCTGGCTCTCTTGGGGAAAAGCGATCACGCCGTTATAGCTCTCAGTTTTGTCAGCAAAAATGAGCTAAGATATCCCACCAAGAACATGCGCTGGAATTTCAAACAGCTGAATGTGTCAGCTACAGGATGATGAATATTAAGAACCAAACGAATAATTTCCGTTCTACAAACGATATACACAGAAGAGTTGGTCATCCATATAGTCCGAGTCATTCAATCAAATCCAAGATGTCCAATGTATTATGTGTTCCGCCTGAGATTTGGAGATCTTCATAATCCAATCAACCACTGGAAGAGAGATAAAAGACGAGGGTGACAAGCCTTGCCTAGCACCGGTCCTCACTTGGAGAGCACCTGTGGGCTGTCCCCGTGCACGACTCTGCAGTGTAGTCTGCCGCATGAAATCCGTATGGTAGTGATGATCTTCTCAGATACACCATAGTGTAAATGAAGGTTATTTAAAGTTCTTCTATCCACTCTGTCAGATGCTTCCCCAAGGTTAGGGGTGTTCATATATAGTGATGAACTCCACTCAATTGAATTTTCGCCAGTGATCCGTAGTGTTGTGATTTGGTCGGTATATGATTGGGCTTTACGGAATCCAGACCGTTATCTTGAAGTTGGGCATCAACTGGATCCTTCATTCCGTTCAGCAACACTGTCGGAACTTATCTCGTAGCTGATTGTAGTACAATGCCTTTATAGTTCTCATCCATGCCGAGATCTCCTTTTTTCTAGTTTGTCGGCACTTCTTTTTCTTCCCAAACCCTTCTGAGTAAGGTGTGGAGCATCTTTGCAATTATCCCTATGCCTGACGTCAGTGCTTCAGTTGCTGTATTCTCTGGCCGTGCTGTCTTCTCATTCTTGATTTGTCTGGTGGACATGGCAATTTCTTCGATTGTCGGTGAGGTAAGAACTACGGGAAGGCACATGTTTGCTGTCTCAATGTTTGGCGGGCGCAGTGAGGCTGGTCTATTCAAGAGCTCTTCAAAGTGCTCTACCCACCCTGTTCCACCGTTTTTGAATCAGTGATTTTCTTACCTCCACCGAAGCACACATCTTCTGTCCAGTTTATATTCAATGGGTTTGATTTACTCAGGGGGTGAAGCTTTAATTTGTGGACGACCTATGAGCGGCGCTTAAATGACCATAGAATGTCCACCTACTTATTAGGGTTAAATGAGGGTTACATATTTGTGTGAGTAATTAGGATTAGGATTGACAGTTGAATGAGATTTAATGTTTTCATCACGCACTGACATCACCCATAATGCCAAAATGATACTTAACCAAATAAGTGAATAAATATCGCGCCGAAATCCATGACCTGCGATGTCAAATCTAATTGCTTCGTGCATAAATTATAGTCTCACCATTCCGAACACCGCCAGGATGTATCTACTTACTTTCGTAGCTACTTGGTTGGTCCTCCTAGTTTCTTGCATTGTGAGAACATTCTATATGCCTATGTGAGTTTTTACGTTTGTTGTTAGAGGGGGTAAGTGGCCTCATGACTCCCATGGAATCTCGACCTTTACCATTAGACGTTATAACTCTTCTAAATGAAAGTCCTTCAACACTTGGGGCAGAGTACAACTGGCCCTAATGGTTTTCAGTTAGGCGTCCTTTAGCTAATTGTCTTTTACGGGGCGGGGTTGTTAATCCCATGCCCAGCCCTCCCCCCATTATCCGAGCTTCAGACTGGCAATAACCCTAGAGGGCCTACAAGTAGAGTTGAATTGTGGGAAAATTATATTTGGACTAAGGGTTGATGTATTGTAGCGCGTGGAATTTTGAGATGAACAGTCACCCTTGAAGATGCACTTTACTGCCTACTAAAACATGTCTGGACTCAATTACTAACTTACCAGACAGTCAACATATGGAAGGTTCAGAGGTGACCCAACAGTGAGCAACAACATCATGTATAACGCTGATAATCATTTGTAACACTTACATGTTCCCAGCCTTGATCTAAACCATAGAAGAAACAACTGTAAGATTGAATTATAATATACTACGTCGGAAAATAGACTAGTTTGACCACACGAGAATGACCAGAACTCGGAATTTACAATCATGTCCTGCACCGGTAAAACGTTCCTCATATTCTTCCATCGCTGCACGGTTTTTATAAGTAGGTAGGACAGCTTCATGCCATAAGATTCATTGTTGCACACGGAATGGGGATGTGAATTAGCGACAGTCAGTAAAGACCAACTCAGGAACATAAATGAGACGACGAGGCTCAGAAAAACTAGAGTGGCATTTCTATGTATCACTTTCGTCCACATATTAAGCATACTATTCTGTCCGTAAGAGTGCATTTCTTACTAGAAGCAGAGCACCCTAAATATCACGGCACAATTCAGGATAAAAGTGGTGCGGCTTCAACGTAAAGTCACATGGATTAGACAGTAACATTGCGGCGAGTCATTTATACTAGATGGGATCAGTTAGTCTGGTAGAATGAGTCCGTCAGTATTGAAAATATCTCGAAACCCAAAATTCTCTCAATGAGCTACTTTTCGTCCTTTCATTTTCTATATATTTATCATTGGTCTACAGAAATATCTGGGTTAACTGATCCTCATCTACTCTGATGACATGAAACGTCGAAGAGCCATCAGACATTACGATATATCCCCAAGGTTTGAATGGAAGGTGAAGGAAATACAAAC